AGTAAACACACCCTTCGGTCAATAGTCTGATACCAGGTATGACATGACATGTGTGACCACATAATTACAGTTGATACAAATGGAATTGAAAAACGTCTTGCTAAATCTGACTAAAGGTCAAAGTACTGATAACCTCAGTAATGAAGATTAACATTGTTATGCTCGAAAATCGACAAATCCTTCATTAATGAAAATGGATTATATGACATTTGTATTAGCCAATAAGGGCCGTATTTCTATAGGAGGATGGAAATTCTAACGTAATCACTGAGTTTCAATAATAATATAATAATAATAACAGACTGTTAAACGTGCACTAGCCCATTTAATTGGGAAAACGAGCAGTAACACAGTGTTAGCCACTTTCAGTCTCTAAAGCTGTATATTTGCTGTTTGATAGTTTCATTCAACAAGATTGAATAATAGAGTTACACATACTATTTTATTAGGTATAATAGCAAAGACTAAACTGAATGAAGATAGAAATCAATCCCCATGATATGAGTGAATCACAGGTGTGATGAAAGATGAAGATCAATAAGAAAAGTATAGAAATAAGATTCAGTAAAGTGTAAGACGATTTTCACAAATAAGGCGTGATCAAGGGATGCCTGCTTGGTTGAGTGACATTTTGACGTACACTGGTTAACAACTGACCAAGAACGCCTGCATGTATTATTATTACTGTCGAATGAAACAAAATCATTCACTGACTGATGAATATTAAATAATGATTTACTTTCTAACTAATTATTTTCTTCTATTATATAGTACGACATTTACTTGTACTAGTAATTTCCCGTTCGAATTTTCGGACTGAATTAATCAATTACATATAGGAAAGTGAACCTCTTGAACGAATGCCTCGATTTCTAACTTGCATTCACCTGTTTATTCAGTGATAGCATGAACAATAAAGTTTAAGCATTGCAAAAATACACTACAACCTCACCCAATTACAAATATCATAGGGGATTGTGTCTCAACGAAGATATACAATATTGATGCAGACTGTGTTAATGATGGCTGAAAAAAAACTAATGGGAGTTTACCATGATATTATCACACTGTTATGAAGTGGGAAACGAAAAGAAAATCTACTGTATACAACCATGAGATTTATATAAATATTTTTCACACACACACATTTGAAAGGACTTAAACCAAACTGTAATACTGTTTCATTATGGTTAATCAAATTGCCGAGATACGGCGTTCTCCAAATAGGTGATGAAGGATGCGAATATTCTTCTCATAATACTACTCCAGCTATAGAGTACATATTTGGGTGACTCTAAACTCGAGCAGCTCAAAACGAAGCTACCTAGTGAACGAATTGGTAACCTTGATGAATTTATATGCAGAAATTGGTTTAACTTGACTATGAGGACTCTTGTGAGAAATGGGGTGGTTTTCTCGGAACACGTACAAAAACATCCTATGTAACCTTTTTAACGTTGCATTACTTGTATATAAACGTTTATTTCATATTAGGCACTTCTACTAACGCATCTGATTGGTCGCTGGAGGTAGTTTCGTTTTGGGCTGCTATAGTTTAGTCACCAAAATCTAGGTACGGGTGAAAACAGAATACCGCAGATCAAATTCACGGAGGACTTCTTAACTCATTTCAATAAAACGCACAGTATGAAGCCAGATAAACTGACAATGAAAAAGTATACAACAGCTATGAGGAAATCGAAATTTCACTTTGCTTCCTTGACCGTGTAACTGGGTTATTTAGAACCCGAAAAGGTAAGGGCCTTAATCACCTTGGAACTTTCAAAGCATGCAACGAAACAAGTCAGTGACTTGATGCCAGTGACGTTTGACTTTTCAATAAGATCAAGCTGGGTTGATAAATTATTACAAGAAATAACTTCTGAGGGTGACATTTTGGATATTACTGAATCACAAGGAAAATTCGTAATACTGGACACTGGTCATCGGATTTATACATCGGTATGCGTAACTAAATTACTGTTTCAGGTTTAATTAACCAATGAGATTGAAATAAGTGACTCATTTACGACCATCTTTAGCTGTAGCGCTGACAGAAGCAAAGAATAATGAGCTTCTGAATTAGTTATTATTATCAAATGGCAGGATATCGATGGTTTTCACTTTGATATTGACTCATAATTAAAACACTAAGTGAGAAACAAAGAAGGCTGTTTGAAAGGTCTTATATGATGAGATTCCACAGTGGCATTCTTTGGAAACGAAAGTCCCAAGACATTTCTGACTACATCTCTGCATCAGTAACATATTACAAAACTAATGAGAAATAATTCAAAAGTACTCTGGATATGTATACCATTTCACCGGTGTCATAAGTGCGAATCCAGTTTAAACTACTTGGTTAACTTTACAACTACCTGTTGATAACCCTAGACCGAGTAGATTGCCACTTTTAGCATATGAACTTTGTGGATGAATATCTTGGATTCTAACGTTATGTTATTGGTGAGACTAAGCACTCATCTTGGAATTAACCATCAAACATTTAACAACACGCGAAGCTACTAGATGGATTTTCAGACGTCAGACGAGTGGAAGTGTGCATTTAAGAACCTGATACAACATATCTGTTATTCGTATACAGATTGTTACCGGCAAGAACATTTACAGAACTGAAAACTAATTTATTTCCTTTGTAACATTTTGATTTTGTCAGGATTCGAAATCAGTCAGGGGATATATAAAAGGCAGGGATAGATGTTTCCTCCTAGATTAGGATGATACACCGGAAACGTTTAGAGTACGAAACGAACATGTTATCATCTAGCCGTTAGGTCGGGATCTGATGGACAGGGAGCTGGAAGTTTTATCATAACAATATAATCCCACCACATGAATGACCAGGGAGAGATTAAGAAACCCTGTATTTAAAACAAATATATGTGTCCATTCTTCAGTTGGTAGGAGTGTTCTTGAAGCCTGTATTCTTTCAAAGAACGTATGAGAAAAATCTGGTTGTGTGCGAATCCTGGTGGGATCGCATGGGAGCTGCTGAAAAGTCCCCAACTCGGGAGAAGCAATTACACAGTACACCTTGATTTCTATTTGTATGCTGTGAAACGACGGCTCACGACAACTGCCTCATTATTTGTGCTTGTGATGTATGCGGCTGTTTACACTAAACAGCACTACTAGTCTACTGAAAAGCTGGGACTTAAAATATGCTCACATACAAGGTGGAGGTGAACAAATCGCACCACAGATTCTTCATTCATCCATGGTGAGACAAAATTAGCGAACTACCGTCTAGACAATTGCCAACGAATATTCAATAAAACCCAACCAAATCTAAGCCAACATCCCAGATCATTTAAATCAACTATGGATACAAGGGCTATTCTCGGACGGTTGGTCTACAAGAATAGTCATTTCAACCTGCGTGAACCAGTGGACCATAGTCATAAAAGTCCGAAAACGGGCTTTAGGTACTAGTTGATCGTTGGAGTAGGTGAGAGTGGCATTAGCAGACAAACTTGTTGGTACTCAAGAAGTACGAAGTTAGATCAGTATGAAGATAAATGATACTTAATACAGCCCTTTTACACAAGACTGAATGAGTATTTGATATATTGTATTTAATAATCAGTATACGGCGTACAAAATCCCTCAAGAAATACTTCGTTCACATACATACACCAATTCAACATTTTAAAACTACAATAAACTCAGGAACTTATTAGACCTGCATTAGTTTTATAACGACATTAGAAAAAACTACAAGCTGAATGCAGCTAACAAAATCTACAAAATCATATACTAGCCATCCAGACAAACCCATGTTTTAGTGAAGATTTCAACCATGAATCGAAACAAATAACAATTGAAATAATGGAAAAGATTTTTAGCTCAGGTGGATAATTTTGATTCAGTTGTCTCCGATGTTGTCTAGAAAGACAACAAAACCTCAAATTAAACCATCCAGCTCAAAGAACACAGTCAAGCCGTCCCACAATGGACGGCTTTCGCGGCCCAAGCGACCTAGGGGGTAGAGCTTTAGCGTTGGTAACGACGAGTGCTGGGTCCGAGTCTGAATGGGAACACCAGCACTCACTAGGAATGCAGGTATTTCCAGAAGACGAATACCAAAGAGGATTTCACCACTGGTCATTGTCCGAAGAATGATGGTGAAGTTGGACTTCCGACAGTGGCAAACAACCTTGGAGAGAGCCATAGCACTGAAGCTAAGTCTGATCTATCTCAGTTCTAGCCTTGATTTTTCCTGAACGTAATCCTAATCTATCTTTAACCTGACCATACTCCCAAATTGCCTAATCTTAATCTTCCATCATATCAACCTACAGCTACCCGGATACCCTGTTTAATACTGTTACACTTCAGGCAACATTTTTTTACCTGGTTTAATTGCCTTGATCTGCCTGAACACTGCCAGATCGTTAGACGTTCGAAACTTAACACTTACATAACTACCATCATCCGATAAATACAGTCACATTCAATAACGTAAGGCAGATATGGGGTAGTACCAATAAACTGAAGCTTTTGAGCTCACACTGCCATATATTATGCATAACTACTCATTGTTTAAAAAAAGTTGTGTAACTTAGATAATAATTTAAAACCCAGTGATAAGGCATGGAAAACCATAATGATCTATCCGCAAAGAGCAATAAAGTAGCTTGAAAAAATGCTGACATTTTAAAACGAATTATGAACACTTATGAATTAACGTGTTTCTGGTACAAGGGATAGCCGAGATTCTTCTAGGACTGTAAAATTACTACCACAGATTTTATTCTAATTTCCCAGTACATGCTCTGAAAATTAATAAAGATACAAGACAACCGGGTGGGATAGTACTGACAGAACACCAGTTATTTTTTAAAAAATGATTACTTGAGGTTTATAATTCCAATAGCATGAACATAGGATAATTAATTACACAACCTGAAAAAACTCCCAGCACCAAATAGTGAATAAACCCAGATTATGCCTGACAAAAAAGGAACCAATAAACTTACTTAAGGTAATCTTGTCGACACAGTAGCATGTTTGAGCGAACGAAAACAGAAGGTCCCAATTCATCTAATCGTAGACCACAACATGAACAATTAAGACATGAAGTATGCCAAAAACGATCGATGGCGTTTAAAAGGGTTTTTTCCATTATGGGACCACCACATCCTGCACATGATATAGACATCATTAAATCCGAAAGGAACTTCACATGGACAGAAAATGAACCGATATAGCTTGATGAAATTCCTGAGTGAATAAACACGTGCCTAATTGAAACAGATTAAAATAATAACATGGTACGCCCGTCTCTATACAAATACGTTAATTTGGTGTGTATGCTACAAACAATATCGTGTCTACTCGAAATTTGATTGGTTGAATTAGCTTGTCATATTACGCTCAGACTAAGTGACATCCAATAGAAACATTGGATTTACATTCTAACCTTGACCCATAGCCTTCATTGATTAATTGGATTGAGGACAGGTATGATAGTCTAAACACACATGCATGCAAATTTATTACCTGAGCTCCAAGGTTATTCATTTGAACAATGGCTTCTCCCTCACTTAGTATTTTTGCATGAGTCATTGGTAGAATAATTTCTCTCCATCTTTGTTTAAAATGTATTAGCGAATGCTATACCCATCTAGTGGGTTATTTCATTTAACTGCAAATATTTTGCACTTCAAATTGCAGTGGGGAGTGTTTGAAATATAGGTGGAAGTAATCAACTTTCAGCTTTAATTTTGCCGTGTAAATTGTCCGTTGTGAAAAGCGGAACCTTCATGATCTGAGTGCATTTCATGTCTCTTCAAATAAATTAGATTAATTTTGAACAATGAAAAATACATACAGAGAAGTCATTTTTAACTTAAAATAATCAGTGTTATGTAATGCATAACATAGTTCGCACTTATAAGGCCACGTCTAAAGTCAATAATATTACCATTATTGATTTTACGTACCGGTTTAGCAGGAGAAAGGTGCAATACATAGCCATCAAGATAAAGGATTAGGGGTAATTAAATCGTGAGGATTACATTATTAAATACAATTTTAAAATTAGAAGAATAGAACCAAAAGTAATTGATGGGGACATGTGGGAAATTCTGAAGAAATCGGAGGATGAGTCCACTATTATTCCTCACATGTGCGAATTTGTTAAGCCGTCCGATTAATCCATTCTTCGGGTATATGTTCTCCCGAAAATCCCTGTTTGTTTGCACTTTCACTTGAAATGAGTGTTCTGTTATTCTTAGATTGTTGAAGGCAATTGGCAGGAAGCCTTGGACCAGGTTTCGTACAACTTGGCACTCGTCAGCAAGCAAATGAATCATGTTTAGTTTGCTCACATAAATCAATCTCAAAAGCCAAATAGTACGAACTATTTGGAATAAGAAATACTTGAACAGGATTCCTGCAGTATGATTAAGTGGAAACCGATTCGAATTATGTTCGTTCTGACACCAGTAGTAAATTGAGAAATCGAAAGTTATTTAAGATGCACAACACACTTTTTCAATTAGACTTCACTTAACCATATTATCTGGAACTAGCATGCTCTGGCTAATTATGGGATTTCGATTTTCTGTAATTATTTGTAGTAATCACTAACCAAGGACAGAGTCCTCAGAAGAACATGTAAGATGAGCAATCAAAAGTGAGTTCTTTTAAGTTGAGATGTCAAAAGATTTGAATCATGTTACCTAGATGGTAGCAGCGAATTATATTCGTATGCTCAATACTATGACAAGGACACGCCATATCCAAAATCTGACAAAGGAGTAATCCTATTTCACGAATTTTTGTTTCTTCATGCATATCTAGGGTCAACAAACATGTCACGTTCATATAAACTGAGGAAATTGTTTACTTGTCCCTCACGTTCTTAATAACATTTGTCAGCTGATTTCCAGTTGACCGCCTTTTGTTTTTTTTTACCCTTCAAGTTTGTTGAATTTTGTTTGGTCGACATTCTTGGCGAATCATGGAAACAATTCTGGCCTTTATTAGAGAGATTTACGATAATATTATGATTTTCCGTTCGTTTTGTAAGTTGGTCTGCATGGTTTCTGGGAACTCAGCTTTGAATTTTATTTATTTATTTTTTTTATTTTTTATTACAGCTTGATTCCACACCGTATTTTTGGTACAAGTGTGGAATTTTCAGTGTGGATATCGGTAGCCCAAAATTCGCAGGCCAACCATAGATATCAGGTGTGCGTCGGCGTGGGCTCGAACTCCGGACCATGTGCATGGTCGGCGAGAGTCCTAACCACTGTGCCACCGACGCACAAATTAGATAGACTGATAGCAATAACCAAGGGCAGTTTATCTGAATAGTTGGAATTCCGGTTACAGTGCAAGTATAAGATGGAAAGTTTGACGAATTTAGCTTTAAGACGACACTTGAAAGCTGAATGTAGATAGGCCATAGCAGAACCTAAGACCTAGTAAAAAAGCTTGTCGAAAAATGACGGAAGAATGATTAGGCGATTATTACTTGGAAATCTCTTCCCAACTTCCATCAGCTTCCGGATGTTTAACTTTGGCGGAGTGAGACTGTTCTTCGATTACAAGATGAATATAATTCGTACTTCTTGGTGTCCATATTTTTTTAATATTAACAGCTTTATTCCAAACGGTATTTGTGGTACAGGTATGGAATTTTCAGCGTGCATTACAGTATATTGCATCTAATTACCTCATAAATTATTTAAGATTTTTAAAATCAAGAGATAAATAAATAAATAAAAATAATTGAAAAAAACAGCGTAGAGTTTACATTTCAAACAATGCACCACAATATATGAAATATAAAATTAGTGTGTGAAAGAAGATGAGAACAACAGTGTAATAGTAACGAGGAAAGGAAAACAAAAACTAATGGGACTATTTGTTAGAGTGCCGCAGTAAGTTTATCGTGTCATACCTAACGGATTTCTCATCACATAACAGCTGTGCCAGATATGGTATTGTGGAGTTTTTGTATTTGGTAGTCCTAGCATATAGCCTCCTATAGCTGCTTCTAGTTCTACCAGATGAAATGCAAGGAGATAGATGCGTATAGAGAGGATGCTCGGGGTCCGACAATATTGTATTCGCTAGTTTCTTACATGATATAATATGTCTATCTACAATAGTGTTCACCAGTTGGTTTAACGATATCCCACTTGCCCTACTAACAGCTTTTAGTGCCCTTCTCAGCGAAGCAAAGTCTTTCTTAAGTAGTCCAGGAAAGACTAATGGGGAGCAGTAAAGGAGGATGGGTAGAATACAAGAATTTACAAACTGAGAAAGCAAAGACTGCTTTATGCCAGACTGCCTAAATTTCCTAATGTAGAACGTTAAGCGAAACATCTTTCTAGTAACTAGCAAGATGTGGGAAGACCAGGAAAGATCGGTGGAAAAACTCAGCCCAAGGTACTTGACATTAGATGTATTTTCAACCTCTGTGCCGTCAATGATAGTGGGGCCATGTGAGCTAACTAGTTGCTGTAGGTCACATTTACGTCTGAAAGTGAAATTGACTACCTGACATTTAGACGGATTAAGCTTAAGTCCGTTTGAAGAGGACCACTGACTAATTTCCGACAGAAAGTTATTTAATTTGGAACAATCTGACTGAGAGTTGACAGGCATAGAAACCGAGAGGTCATCGGCATACTTAACAAAAGTGGCTACATCAGAATGAGGCAAGTCATGTAAGAAAAACGAAAACAGAAAGGGAGAAAGAACAGCACCTTGAGGAACACCAGCTAAAGTAAGTGAGGTAGTGGAGGATTTTCCATTGTAGACGGTGTACTGCTTCCTATCAGAAAAATAGGAATGCAACCACTTATTTGTCCAGCTCTCAGCCTGTGTTGCAGCAAGCTTACTTAGCAAGAGAGACCTGGGAACAGAGTCAAATGCAGATGTGTAATCAAGGAAGGCACAGCGAACGTATTTAGCTCCTTTATCTAAACTAGAGACTATGCTATGGTGGAGGACAACAGCGGCATCTAACGTACACCTACTATGTTTATAAGCAAACTGGTTGGGGTCGTTGAAAGGTTTTAAAGAGGGATCAAGATTAAGTAAAATAAGTCTTTCCATAACTTTCAAAAAGGTGAGGTAATTGCAATGGGTCTAAACTTAACATTAGGTCCACTTGTTGATTTAGGCACTGGAACGATCTTGATATTTTTCCATGATTCAGGTATAATACTTTTGGAAAACGATTCGTTGAAAATGTCAGTTAATGGGGAACACAAGATGTCGGCACACTTCTTAAGGATAACAGCAGGAACACCATCAGGACCGAGGGACTGAGTAGGCTTGAGAGATTGAAGACACTTGAGGACATCATTCGTGTTAAAGCATGAGAAGCAGTCATTGTTTACACTATTTGAGTTAGGAATCATAACATTTGCTGGGATACATATGAAGGATTCATTAAGCATGTTAACATCTACAGAAATATCATTCATCATTTGCTTACCACCTGTGATTTCCTTTAATAACTTCCACATATTTGATGGGGATTTACATGAAAGAAACTTCTGGTTATAGAGAGCATTCAATCTTTGTAATTCAAGCTTAATCAAAGTGTTCATTCTCTTAACACCAGATTTGTTTTTCATTTTGAACAACCTTTCTTTTTCACGGCGGAGCTTTTTGAGTTGAGAAGAGGAGAAGCGATCGAATTTTAAGAAGATTGTCTCTTTTGGACAACAAACATCAAGACAGAAATTAAGATAATGTGTTATGTTGGCAATTGTGTTATCAAGAGCTTGTTCAGTAAATAAATCCCAGTTTGTGTCTTTTAACATGGACCTTAGATTCAGTATGTTGTCATGGGAATAACATCTGTGTTGTGTTTTCTTTCCAAGGTGTGAGAAGACCCTTTTGTGCTGCTTTCCATATACTTTGGGCAATATTCTTATGATACAGTGATCTGAATTTAGTAGTGGGGCTCTTTTTCGAGCTTCAAATATTCCTGCGTCATTTGTAAACATAAGATCAAGAGTGTTGTCCATTCTAGTCGGGAAGTTGACAATATTATCGTGTCCAAGTGAAATTAGGAAGCTGTGATCACTAGAATTAAAATCACCAGTAACTATAGACAAGGAATTTCCGAAGGAGGTGGCAGCAAGGGAAGTAAATTCATCCGCAAATAAAGATAATTCTGTGGAGTTGCATCCAGGAGCAATATACATGTTCGAGATGTAAATGTAGTTGTATTTTGACAAATGTTTAGGTCGACACTTAACGGTGAGACAGTCAATATTGTCACTAGAGAATTTGAAACATACATTATTAGACGTACACCATTGTGAATTGATGAAGATGGCGACACCGCCACCGCGTTTCTTCCTGGAACTACACCGATCTTGTCTGTACAATTTGAAATTATTTAGATACACTAGATTGTCATCATATAGATCATGAAGCCATGTTTCTTGAAGTGATATGATCCCAGTATTATGATATATAATGGAAGACACCAGC